GTAGGGTGAAACTTGCTTCCAATGTGCTGACAGTTTCTCCTGAGACTGGGAAACAGGGAGGAAAGCAAGGGAGATTGCAAACCCAAATACCTTGTGACAGAAAGGTGAGGTCCTGGTTGGCCACAGGAGACAAGAGGTGTTTATGTAAGGGTGAAAGTTCTCCCGTGATAAAATCCAGCTGGAGTGTCTCCCCAAGGACACAATAATACCCCTTTGACTTAAGCAAGGTTGGATGAGGCTGCTGCAGGCCTCTGGCTCTTTCAGGCTCAGAGATGCTGACAGATCATTGTCCATCAACTGCAGGGCTGTAGAGAGGGTCCCACAGGAGACAGACACCTCATGTGTGTGTATGTGGGTGTATGGGTGTGTCTGTTCCTGTGCCTGGGGGAACTGTCTTGGTTTGAAGTAGGAAAGTATATTGTATGTGTCCTTGGGTCTAGGCTTGTGATGTGTGTCTGTTGAGTGTGCATCTGTTCATGAATGTGTGTGTGTGTGTATGTGACAGTGGATATATGTGACCCTATCAAATGGATTCTGGGCGTGTGTGTGTGTGCGCGCACATACACATGTGCATGAGAGTCTGTATTTGCTGAGAGAATTTTGATGTCAGTCTGCGTGCTTCTAGTGAATCTGGAAGTAGCTGCGTGTCTCCCTTTGTCTGTGTTTAAGATCTGGCCTTAGGCCACCCACAGCTGAATTATTCACTCCTAAAAGGGACTGCGTGGCTCATCTTCATTTCCTCACTCCTGCTGTCCTGTATTAACAAGATCTATCCTTCACTTTTGTGAGCACAGACCGCTTCCATGCACAATTTCTCATTTCCTCTGATAACCAAGAGTACAGGCAAGTTTTCCTCCTTTGCAGAAGAGAAATTCCCCTTAAACCTCTCTGTCTCCTCCTCAAGGAGAGCAGCTCTCGTCCTGCTTTCTGGGGCTGACTGTGCTGCTGACCCACTCCCTCCCCACCTCCTTCGGGCGTCCGTCCCCATCAGTTGCCTCCTCCATTCTGGATCTTCATTCACCCAGAGCTGTTGCTTCCTTCCTCTGACCTTCATCCTCAAGCCCAGCACCCTTCCTGGTCTCGCCTTTTCACTGACAAACTTCTTCCCATTTCTTTCCTTTCTTCACGTACCACAGCCCTCACTTCTCACTGGTCCCTCTGACACTTGACCCACACACTCTTCCTAAACTCATCAATTACCTTTCATCTTCAAGCCCCACAGCCTCCTTGTAGCGTTCAGCCTGTTGGAGGAACATCTGCCTTGTGTGATATGGCTGTGCACTCCTCCCTTGTTGAGATTCTCCCTTGTTGAGATTCTCTTCAACCATCTGGTTTTCCTCCTTTTGCCACTTAACCTTTCTGTGGCCTTTGGTGGCCTTTCAGAAACTCACTGAATGCTTGAATTCCTCCCTTTTCCCTCTCCACATAATCTGGATGGTCAGCATCTCCTTCATGTCCAGCTACTCTTGTGCGTGGGTGACTGTGACATTTCTCTCCCTCATCCATCTCTCCTCTTGAATGCAACTCTTCATACACTCTAAAAATCTCTGTTGGGTGTCCAATGGCCTCTCAAGTCAACAAGTCTAGGGCACCCAGCGTCTGTGCCCAGAACTGCTTTTTTTCTCTTTGCCTACTGTTTTGGCCATGACAACATAGAAGGCAGAGAGTCCTAAGCCAGCCTCTCCTTTCCCCTGATGTTCCATTCTTTCCCACACCCTGTCTTTTCTCCTATAAACATCTCTTGAGTTGGTCACATTCTTTATATCCCCACTGCTTCTATCTTGTCTGTTGCTGAGGTTATGGCCACAGCCTGGTACAATCAGAGGCTTCACATGCTGGGGTGACAGATACAAACACACACACCGTTGAGCATAAACATGGTTACACACATAGGTGCCTAGATATGCAGATGGTGTATGATTGTCAGTCACATCAGATGCTATGGCTCCTACATGGTCCTGTCACACAGAAGCACATGGCTTCAGACCACACACACAAACTCAGTGGCACAGACCTGATCAAAGGTAGACACAGTAGCAAACGCAAAGGTAGACATTTGCTGACAAACACAAGGTTGTAGATATACACATAAATCACAGACAAAGACAGAAGCGGAGCCACAGACGTAGAAACACAGTTGTGGACCAATATTTGTTGAGATTCCTGCCGTTGTAAGGCAAGAAATTGAGTTGAGAGATAGAGGATGTCCTGGTCACAGTCATTCTTTAAAGTGCCCACCGTGGCGGGCTAAGAGAGTCCCGTGAACATGGAGGCATCTCTACAATCCATCGCTCCCACCCCCACCCTACTCCCTTCCAGATGCCGTTTCCCACCCTGAGACTCGGAGCCCCTGCCTCTCTTCTTAGGCACTTAAACCCAGGGATTGACACAAGTGTGCTTGTTGCCAAGCTTGTAGGATGCTGTGAGAGTCAGGGAAATGGACTGGCAGTTGTTGGCTGTGCTAGCTGGTAAGCCAGGAGGAGATTAGAAGTAGGAATGGGGATGCAGGGACCTAACAACTCTGGGCATCCATGAGGACAAAGATTCGCAGGCTTGCAAACACAATCAAGCCCTTTGTGACAAATAATGAAAAGTTTGTTATTGATCATACAGCATGCGTTTCATTACTTTAGATACAATTACACATATATCATCGTAATGAGCCGAAGCCTACGTCTGCTCTATTATAGAGTGGAATCACCAATCCCTTACATGTGCATGGGACTTTAAATGTTTTCAAAGTGCTTTTCTAGACATTCTCCTGTCTGATCCTCAAGATTTTTTTTATTGTAAATGAGATCATATATTTCACATATTTTACATATTTCTATTCTTTTCCCATCCCCTAATAAACCAGCAGAATCTTCATAGATGTTATGCATCAGTTTTTATAAATATAATCCACTGTTTTTCATTGTCTTCTCATCATCTATTCCATTCTCTCTCTCTCTTTATGCTATCTTTTGCTTGGTTGGGTTGTTTTTTGTTTGGTTTTGTTGGTTGGTTGAGTTTTTTTATTACTGTTGTTGTTGTTTTAACCTTTTTGCTTGTCTTCTCACTGTCTTTTACATACACACACTGCAGTTTTCTGTCTTTGTCTGAATGTCAATTCTTTGGTCTTCCTAGAGACCAAACGGTATTTTATTTGGACTCATTCCCTGAGATCTTGAATATTACTCTTCTATGCTTAATATAGTTTATATAAAATAGAAGGTGCCCAACATGGTATTCTATAATTTCCTACACATTTTATCCCACATATTCTCTCTGCTAGCGAGGTGAATTGGAGCAACTTACATAACCTCTCTGAACTTGATATTCCTCGCTGGTTAAGGAGGGCTCAGATATTTGGGGTTTTACTGAAAATATTACAGCTAACACATGTAAAGTGCATAGCAGGCTGTCCAGCACACACTTAATATATTGTTTTTATTATAGTAGTTTGTGGTGGCGATTGTGGAAGCAGTTGAATGATAGCAGTGGTTAGAACTCAGTCTTCCCAACTGCCTTATTGGTAACTGCCTAAGAGTGTCTCCCGCTGATGGACCCAAATTTAACCTTGTCCTGCAGTTGAACATTTAGGTCATTTTCTATTTTTGCCCTTTATAAATAATGTCTCACAAAACATCCTGCATACAGTTTTAATTCTTCTTTTGAATTTAGCATTTGGATGTATTCCTGGGAGAGAAATTACAGAGTGAAGGGATATATACATTTGTGAAGTTCTTGATAAATATTGCCCGATTGCTTCCCACAAGAGTACTATCAGTTTATACTCCCACCAAAATCAAGAGAAAAGACTATTTATAGAAGCTTTCATAGCATTTGTTGGTCTTGTTTTCTGTTTGACTTTTCTTATGTAGATTTTCCTTTAAAACTATGCCATATATTTGTGTGTATACACACACACACACACACACACCACATATATATACATTTATCCATACATATACATACACATGCTTTTGTGGGGCCTGGGTCAGTGATGGTATTTGAATATCATCTGCCATGTGATTTTGATAGGAACCTGTTAGCCAAAGTTTGAGATGCTTAACTCTGATGATACACATGATAGTTTTAGCTACTACGTGGCATTGATTGAGACTGGTTTATATATTGCAAATGATACTCCATCCTCAGTTCTCTGTCAGTTCTCTGATCAGATCAAGGAGAAAGTCTCAGCTAGGTGCTAACAACCCTTTAAGGCTCCTCTAGTCCCCTCTTATCTCCCTTTTAAAAAGAGCAGTTTTTTCTCCCTGAGTTTCTAGCTCAAATTTAGCAACATCATTTGGTCTCCAGTATGTTTATTTTTATGTTTTCCTACTTTTCATGAAAAGTGATATTGGTACTCTATTTAAAATAATGATATAAAGTTACCCTTTTTGCGCACATCTATTTAATTAAAAAGGTGAGTGACAGAGGACAGAAACCCTGAGAGTGCTTTCCAATGATTGACTTTTGGGACATACTTCCTGGGGAGTCCATCTCAACAGTTGTCCCACAAATAATAACAAATGATCCTTGAAAAACATTGACTGTAAGTCTCCGTAATGCCTGACATAATTTGGAACTTTGTGAGTGCCCCTTCATCCCTGTTCATTTGTGAGTGTAAGGACATCACAGTCGGCCTTGACCAGAGTCACGTTTACATTCAGAGAGTTCTGTGGGTTAGTGACCAGGTGAGAAATCTCCTCACTTGGCAGATTAAGAACGGGAACACACAAGCACTGGGGGATGTGTAAATCAAGACTGACATTGTGAATAGAATGATTCAGAAGATGGGATTAAATAGCTTAATGATCGTCATTGTGAATCACAGTGTCAGTTTTAGTATGAGTCTAACGATGTACTTGCTAACGCTAATGAGGTTTGATAGAATAAAATTAACAATGTCCAAACAGCTGTATGCTTTCACAACAAAGGAACCATATCTCAGAGCAGACTGATACATCCTTTCCGTGGGGGATTTTAGTCAATTGAGTTTGTTTTTTCTCTTTTAGGATATATTTAAATTTGCCGGAACTTCTCCTGTCCCAAGACAAAAGAGGTCCATTGTGGTATCTCCCATTTTAATTCCAGAGAATCAGAGACAACCATTCCCAAGAGATGTTGGCAAGGTAAGTCAGACAAAAGGCAAATACAAGAGCATGTTTGTATTAAGAGATGAGCATACAGGAGGGAAGCTGACTGACTGTCTTGGTGACCAGCTCGAACTGGCCTCAATTCCTCTGTGACAAGAAGCCAAATGGTTTTGCCAAGAAAAGAATGTCAAAAGGTTATCAAACAAAAGAAAAAAAGGGAATTTCCAAAAGAGAATAATAACACCTTTGAATATCATGATTTGGAGATCTACATGGTAGATAATGATGCTAAACTTATGTCAGGAGGATGTCATTGGTTACGAAATAGACTCATTACTTCTATGGATGATGTCCAGGCAACCAGCCAAATAAGTCTCCTTAGCAGAGCTGTATGATGGTATGTGGCCTTTTTATTCAGATCCTTGTTTTCAAATGTGTAGGTCCAAGAGCACCACTGGGTGAGCTCTCTAAAAACTAAAGTAAACTTAAGGAACTAAATCATACTAACCAGATCCAGAAAACACTGTTGTGTGAATCAGAGCAACAACTTTTCCAGGAATAAATATTCACTGTTAAATGGACAGAAATACTGATGTTGCCTGGTCAACACGTGCTCTTCCCATACGAAAGCCAGCATAGAGAATCAAATTTTACCCAGTTTGTGTTTTTTTGGTGATCTTGGAATTTCAACAGTGGCGGTTAGTTGAATGAATGATCTTAAGGACTGGTGCTATTGGACAATTTATTCATTCATTAAATAAATAAGGAACACCTGTTACATATGGGACTCCAAGATTGGGACTGGGTGAATACAGGTGTGAAGAAGCAAACAAATTTCTATTGTGATGGAGCTTGTATTCTAGTGAGAGACAGATATTTCAATGAGAAAATAAATAAACAAGAAAATTGCAAAGGATGACAAATGCTGTGAAAAACAGAAACAGGGTGATGTGAAAAAGAGTAAGTGGCAGGACCAGGGAGCAGAGGGAGGAGGGAATCTTCACACAGTTGGCTGGGAAAGGCTCGTTGGAGTTACTGACATTTGAGTGGAGAATGGACAGATGAGAAAGGGACAGCTATGGGAAGACCTGGGTAAACCGCATTCTTGGCAGAGGGAACTGCATGTGCAAAGGCCTAGAGGTAGGAAAGAATGAGGCGTATTTGAGGAGAAAAATACCTGGTTGGCGGCAATGTGGTGAGGAAGGAAGAGAGTGGTAAGTGTTGACGTCAGAGAAGCTGGCCTGTCATATGGGCCTTGGTCACCATGGTGAGGAATAGGGATTTCATTGGGCATGCAGCAAGAAACTACTGGAAGGTCTCCCAGGTGTATATGTGTGTGTGTGTGTTGTGTGTGTGTGTTTTGAGGAAGATCGGCCCTGAGCTAACATCTGCCAATCCTCCTCCCCCTTTTTTTTTTTGCTAAGGAAGACTGGCCCCAGGCCAACACCCATGCCCATCTTCCTCTACTCTACATGGGATGCCACCACAGCATGGCTTGCCAAGTGGTGCATTGGTGCATGCCCAGGATCTGAACCGGCAAACCCCGGGCCACCACAGCGGAGTGCATGCACCCAACCACTCGCACCACCGGGCCGGCCCCTATGTGTGTGTGTGTTTTGAAAGATCTCTCTGGCTGCCTCACAGGGAATGATTTGTGGGAGCAGAGTGGTAGGGAGGAGTTGACACAAGAGACCCGCCAAGAGGAGGGTTTTATAGTGATGTGGTCTAGAGGAGAGGGTAACTTGGACTATTAGAAATCTATTTCTATTGGAAATTAGAAGCATTAATAATCCAATATCCTGGTAATCACCATATTTATGATTTTAAACTACCACTGTGCCAGAGATGCCTTTCCTTAAGCAAAGTCTTGCCAGGAGTCCAGGATGTGATGCAAAGGGAAGCAGAGTTGTTCCAGGTGGATAGTGCTGGGGCTGATGAGTCCTGTCCCTTTGGACAGCCCTAGCCACTGTGATGGCCCTTGTGTGGGTTTTCCTGAAGCCAAGGATGGCACTCACCAAGGGCCCAGAGTCCTCCAGTCTGCAAGGCTCTGCTCCCAAACAGTTTCAGAGACAGATGCATCCTTGATCTTTAGGTCTCCTTTACGTAAGCCTGGTGTTCTCAACCCTCACTGACCGTCAGAATCACCTGGGCCAGTTAGAATACAGATGCCAGGCTCTGCCCTCAGAGATTGATTCAGTTAGTCAGGGGGTGAGGACCAAGCATCAATAGCAGCCAGGGTTGAGAACCACTGGTCTAAACCAGTTCTACTTCAAGAGTGGCTACTGACCAGCAGCATTGGCATGACCTGGTTGCTTGCTAGCAATGCCTGTTCTCCGGTCCCACCCCAGAACCACTGAGCAGAAACTCTTGGGATGAGACCAGGAGTCTGTTTTTACATGCCTTCCAGGTGATTCTGACGCACACTCAAGTTTACGGAGGTCTGATTAAAATATGTTCTCCTCCCCTGCCCACCAATGATACATAATTCTTCCAGTGTTGGAGTTTCAGTGCCATTAATTAGGATATAACAAGGGTGATCATACATCTCAGTTGCCTGGAAATTTGGTTGTCCTGGAATAATTATGATTAGCACCACCTTTCCCCTTAAACGTGTCCAGATTTGGACAATAATTATGTGGTCATCCTAAAGCTTCCTTCAATCCCACACGTTCACCCCCTGAGAATATTTAGGGATTTTTCACAAGCCTCTTTCCTTGAGATATATGATGGGTCAATAAGTGTGCAACTAGCCAGGGAGATTCTTCTGCATTGTTTCTTACCCGTTACAGCCTCAAAGCACAATTTTGTTCCCAAGCTGAGGATTCATCTCTGCTTAGCCCCTTATGTCCTTCCCACATGGGATCTCAACCTGGATTCTTTACAAAGCAACTGCTTTTCTGAGTGTGATAGTCTGCTAACCATAATGTGTGACAGCCTCCCAAACCTCCAGATGGTTTCTGCAGAATAACTGCACTGCCTTGCAAAAACTGTTTGTCCATGCTTTTTATGCATTTGAAGGAACATATTTTTCTCTTTTTGCCTGCTAGTTTTTATTCATTCATCTTATCCTTTTCTTTATACCTTATATCTTATCCTAGTCAACTCCACCAGTAGCTGACAAGCGATGCTCTGCAGAGCTGTGAGAGGGTGTAGGTGTCTTCAGTGAGTGCTGGGGAGGTGGGGAGGAGGGAAAAGAGACCAAAGAGGCAGGGCTCCAGCCTCCACATATCACCCCCCAACCCAAACTCGCTGAGTCAGGCAGCTCTAATTTTATAAATATTACATATCAGATTTCAGTGTGAAATGCCATTGAAGAAGAGATTCTTTGGTTATAAAAGTGTAAAGACACTTGTCTTACTTTGGGTTCTCTGAGACGAGAATTCAAATGCAGGAAGTTTATTTAGGAGGTGAAGAGAATACAGGTAAAGGAGTGAGGCAGGGAAGGGAAAGCAGCCATTGAAAACCTGTTCATCAACACGTCTACCACTGTGGGTGACTGGATTGTAATCCCATGGAGAAATCCACAAAATGGTGTAAGGCACACTCTCAGGGTTAACCTACCCACAGGGGAAGGAGCTAGGGTATTTATATGCCAATCCCATCAATTAGGTTGAGGCTGCTCCCAGAGGTGTAAATTCTCCAGCACATCCAGCTTGCCTTGTGCTCTGTGCACAGGCACAACAGCCATCTGAGGCTTTGGGGAGAGCCTTCAGGCATCATGGCTGGTGGGAACTGAAAAGGTGAGGTCCAAGGGATGGGGACAGGGCACTGAAAGATTTTGCCCCGTCACTGAACTTGATGTGAATACCTTTGCTTTGCAGGCTAGGTTTTCTCTTTGTCTAATCCTCTGCTCCTACCTCATTTCCCGAACTAACTTTCTTGTGTCTCATGCTTTTGAAGCCAACTGTACTTGGCTATCTCTATTAATAAGTACTCACTGCATCCCAAGAGGGAAAATCTCTGAAATTCAACACAATTCATGTCAACAAGCATATATTAAGCATCCGCTATTTACAAGGCACTGTGCTAGGGGCTGGAGAATTAATGGCAAAGGAAACAGAGAGGGTCCTTGATCTCAAAGGATTACAGAAGAGTGGAAAAAATCATCACAAATTCATTATTTGCCCAGTACTGTAAAGTGTAAGCACTTTTCATCTATTATATTGAATTCTCATAACAACCCCATAAGGATCATCTTCCAATGTGCCAAATGAGGGTAACGAGACTCAGAGGGATGAAGTAACCTGTTCGAAGTCACACAGTCACTTAATAGCAGAGACAGGCTTTGTGCCAACATTTTCCAATTTCAAAGTCTGTGCTCTTAACCAATATGTTCAGGGCTGCTAAGTGCAATCTGAGAATTCTCTTCCATGGAATGAAATATCCCTGCTAACGATTGCTCTCTTTAAAACAGGATTAAAATTACGTTTAATTCTTTGAAATGCACCAAAGAAAAATAAGATGGTTGGACGGATTGATCAATGGATAGATATATGATAAAGCAAGTATAATAAAATGTTAATGTGGGGAGAGGAGTCAAGATGGCGGCGTAAGCAGACTCAGAACTCCCCTCCTCCTGTGGACACAGCCAATTTACAACTACTCGTGGAAAAATTACCCCTGAGACAGAACTGAAAACTGGATAAGAGGAACTCCTGCAACAACGGACAATCC